TTTTCGTTGAAATTGAAAAAGTAATTTTTTTTGTATACTCTTGTAACATGTTGCTACAGAGTACAATAGTTTTGTTGAACTGAAGGATGTACGTATCACCTAAAACCCCGCGCTCTTATAAGTTTAATTTATGTACATGTCTCTTAAACCGATTAAGCTACAAGAACCAAATTCACCAAGCGCAAAGGACTGCTACAGAAAGTTTGAAAATGGATGAAATCAGAATCACTGAATCAAAACTACTAAAATCGCAATAAATCAACAACTAAATATACACTAGAGACACTACATTTTATCTCCAAGATGGTATGAGAGGGCTTTAAAATCGGGTGAAAATTCGCCTACACCCCATATAACTACCAAGCCTCAGCACATGAAGGCACTTCCCTGTATTTAATCCTTGCAAGTTGCAAGAGTATGAAATGTTCGGATGTAACCGAACTTAGCTTTTCATTACTTGTTGAATTTTAATTTGCACACGAATTGTTGAATTATGATATATGTAAAATTTCTGAAAATTCCGACATCCGATAAAGCTCTACTATATTTGAAGTGATTAAACCTGACTTTTACAGATATTAATTGCCAGATCCAAATTTCTTTTCTTAAAGCTTAGGTGAAAAATTATTGAGTCATAATGAAACTATTCGATATTTCTCTCAAATTTTGATTCTTTAGGATATTAACTCTTCAAGATCGAAAAAAATTCTTGAGAAGCCTCAAAGGCTCAGGAAAAACATTTCATGTCTTCATTATTGCAGTTCTTTTGAACGCTCAATTAAACACTTTCAAGCTCTGACAATTCCAACTGAACCATCAAATGCAGTATTGCGATGTTACGTGCTCATTTGCGTGTATATCCAAATTCTCCTTTACCTCCTCGCCTCGCCGCAGATCGAAATATTTTATTACATATTTACAATCCATATAGTATTCCATAAAGCATATACATATGTATGTATATAGATATGTATTCATACATATGTGTAGATGAGCGGAAACGTGCCACTAACCACTTAATGGCGGAATTCTTCCATAAATACACATTATATAATATACTTTTCGTTTGTTTTTGAATTTTGCCAACTTAATCAAAGATTTGCTGTGCAAATAAATCGTACGTTGCCTTGAAAGTCAAATGTTGTTTAACGTTGACCCCCACCCCGCTCGCGCTGACCGCATATATTTTGTTTTTGTTCTCTACTCGAGTTTTTTTTTTTTTTGAAAATTTCGCTAAATATTGTGTTATGGCTGGCAGCCCACACAGCCGCAGCTTCGCGAAATTCGCCTAAAATACACAACGTCAAAAGGAGGTGTGTACCAGAGAAGAACAATACCATCATCATCTGAGAATCATGTGATTTGAACACTTGCCAATTAAAACTATAGAAACAAAGTGGGCAGTGCTCGGCGGGCTTGCGTCATACTTAAAACGGAACGAAACAGAAAAAATGCCAAAAAACCAAAATGTCATTTTCTGCTGGGTACAGCATTATTGTGATAAAAACAATTTAGACAATTGGGCCGCAAAAAATGCACTATTAATATATTGAACGGTACTTTTTTTTGGCATCCCACCAGAAAAAAATGGAATTTCGCCTGAAAAACTAATTTACATGTGTGTACATACATACATACATACATATGTATATAATAGATATTTGTATTCTATATTGAGAATGTATAAAAAATATTTCATCGAAAATGCTATTTGAGCGTACAAACTTGATTCCGCAAATGAAATGTTAAAACAGTAATACTTAAAACGGCATATTCAAATTATTTAAATTTTGGGTTTTTTAATGATTGGCCGTTAGTTAATGAAATAATGTTCTTAAGAGAAACGTGTTCACATTTTATTAAATTCAATCGATGCTTCATGTGTGCCTCCATTAAATACCTGTTAGAATGCAGTTTATTTTATTTTTGCATTTATGTACATGTACGGAATTTTTCGTCACCAACAAGTTATGTCGGTTAAATAATATTTTGTATGCCTTGGGATATATTAAGTTTGTCACGAAACCAGACCCCAAAAGAAAGCGGTAAAAACGCTTTGAAATACATATGTACATACATATGAATATAATGATGAGCTGAGACGATTTATGGTAGCCATGTTCAGCTGTCTGCATATACGCAACAAATTTTTCGGGTTTGGAGATATCGAAATTTTGAAAGAAGCTGATTATTTGTCGGATCCGCCGATGTCGGACCTTCTATAGTGGTCTGAGCAGTCATGAATGCTATAGAAACGGTCAAAACCAAGATCTTGTATGGAAAACTTTTTTTGTTGACGAGATATCTCCTCGAAATTCGGTATGGATTATTATTCAAAGCAACACTACAACTTGCGAAAAGAGAATAGATTACGTGCTGACTTCTCGAAATCGAATTCTAAAAAGCTTTCCGGGATTAGAAAATTGTAAAAATTTCTTAGCAATGATGCACAGTTGTTTATTCTTGGAAACAAACAACCATAGTTTTGCTGAATCATACAAACGTGCGTCACAGGAAGCTGTTTTTATTAATTGCAAAACTTTACTGCTTGAAATTTTCCTATCATAAATATGCAATTACCTCTCTTGTATAAATTCAAATTGCCCTTATGCTGTGCAGGGTATAATTTTTCCCGACTTTTTAATTTTTAGATGTTTTCCTGTTTGAAAACCCCAAAAAAAAATAAATATAATCCTTTAACTTTGCTAAAAATATTTAATTTCTATTTTTTCCTTAACATTTACATATACATACATATGTATAGCTTTTGCTAAAAGCTGCATTGAGCCGAACGGCTTATTTTAAATTAATAAGTAATCACTATTTTTATAATACAAAATGTTTATCTTGCTTGTTTAAAAACACCAAAAACACTTGTTTACTTGAGGCGTAGGAAACAACATATTTTGTATGTATGTATACATACATATATGTATGTGTAGGTATAAATATGAGTATGTATATAATCCTTTGGTGAATTACCCATACTAATCTCCATGGCTAATAATACTTCTGTGCAATAATAATTCGAATATTTTTTGTTTATTATTTTTTAGAGTCTATTTTGAAAATGATGTATGGAAATAAGCCAAAATACAATTTATTTGAAACACTTGTTAACATCAGTTTCTTTCTCTCTGTGCGCTTTATACTACATAAAGGTTGTGAATGTTAAAAAAGTCCGGAAATAAGTTTTCTAATTAATTTTAACTCATTCATTTAAACTCTTGAGCTCATAGAAGCACGCCAATGCGTAATCCAATTTTTCATACATCTGTTATAAGCCTCGACTGGGGTTTTTTCGGTTTTAGCTCATTTTGGAAATTCTCTTTGCACATATTCGCTGACCGGAACGGACCCGAATTTTTAACCCGCGAAGGACTGTCAACTGGGCAGAATTCTGCCGCTTTAGTGATCTCTATTCCATGTAGTTTTTGAAAAAGATCCAGGTCTTCTGGTACGAGTCTCGCATGTTTAAACATTAACCAAATTTTTTGAATCGATCTATAGGAACTAAGGTTGTCTGCTATTTCTGATGCCAACACGGTGTTTTCAAGGCTTGTTTCTTTTTTGACCGTCACCGTCAATCACAGAAGTGGATGCACGATTCGTATGTGCCAAGTTTTCAATGACTTCACAATCTTCACCTTGTGTTCGTGATCATGTAAAGTTCGGAAAATATTTCTGCAACATTTTCAACGATTCCATGGCCCTCTTTCGATTGGAAATGCAACCTTTCGAGCAATCTCGTTGCTCTATTTTTTTTGATCAAAATCGCCAAGCAAACTTTTCACGTTGTAAATAAACAGCTGACAAACACACACTAATTGACATATTTATGTAAAACTTCACACAAACGTAAAAAAGGCAGTGCTTGAGTGGACTAGTCCGGGTTGAATTTTTTCTGCTGGCAAAAATTCTTTAGCTAATTATAATAACCACGAAACTCCTGAATATTGTTCAGTTGCGATATCCACACACTCTAACCTCCCGGTAAGAAGGCACTTGCTTTACTAAAGCTCTTTATATTATGTATTCATTAAAGAATTTTCTTAAAAAATTCCTATTTTAAATATAGAATATGCATGATCAAAAATGTTTTACCAACATTTATATACATACATATATATACATATGTATGTATGTATATTACATATTTATCCTCTGTTGTCTATATTTTGCAAAATATGTTCATAAAACATACAGACATTCCCTTCAACGCAACAAAGTACCAAAAAAATCGCATTTGCGTCATAGGTGACCCAAAATGTAGGCACGGCGGGATGAACTATTTCGCTTTCCAATTTTCTTGTTGTAAGTATATTTATTGTTATTATTGGATAAACAGGCGCGACAAAAATGATGTTTTTTCAATTATTGCTATTGATGGCCCTCTCCAATGCCCAACGAATGCAGAAATGATGAAATCGATTGTGTTTGATAATAGACCTCAGCGAAGGAAGTGGAGGAGGAGCACATGAGTGCCATTGTTTTGTTAGTATATGTTCATGTGCGTGCGCCAGTAAATTTACAGGAATTGCGAGCATGCAAATGATTACTAATTGAAGTTCAATGTCGTCAGTGGCGCATTTGTTACTTCCAGCAACCGCTTGGTTGAGGGCTTGCGAACACATGGGCGCTCACATACACATACAAACAAATGTAAATATGCAGGTGGGTGGAAACACGCTTGGGATGGCACAAGGTGTCCCCTAATATCCTCAAGTGTTTACATTTGTCGGTTGATATTGTATTGTGAGGCAATTAGAATGCAGCGCAAATATTATGTACATATGTATATAAAATAGTTTGTATGCACATATGTATGTACATAGATACACAATTAGTTGATTGTCAACTCTGTGAGTGTGTTGAAAAGAAATTTTGTTTTTATCTAAGACGTAAATTTGTAGAAATCGTGAATATTACCTTTACATAAATCATTTATCATCTTTGTATTTTCTCAACTTTATTCATTTTTCTCGTTTGCTTTCTTCCAGACGCTTGCCTACGTTGTCAGGCGGAGAATAAACGTGAGGTACTTGGACGACAGGACTGCGTAGTAGTTTGGGGAGAATGTAATCACTCATTCCATCATTGTTGCATGTCGCTCTGGGTGAAACAAAATAACCGCTGTCCGCTCTGCCAACAAGAGTGGTCCATACAACGCATGGGCAAGTGAGCAAAATAGAGCATCAGCAGTTATAATGGAACTGAAAATAGATTTTCTAAATTTTAAGAAAGCAACTGGTAATTGATGTTAATTAAGTGAGCTAATATTTTCTCAATAGATTTAAGTTTCAATATTTGTTTGGTATGTAAGTTTAGGAGAATGGTGAAAATGTATAAGAGAAAATCTGTAATAAATTGTATTTGAGAAGAAAGAGTACTAAGTAGCGCAAAGGATATGAAAATGGAGCAAATGTGAACATATGCTACTATGTATATTGAGCGCATACAAAATTAACAACAAAGACAGAGTCTACAAATATTCCTTAGAAGATCTTTTTGTTAAAGTAAACTTATCTACATTCGTATTCTAAGGAAAGTCAGCGAAGTAAAAAATTTATGCCCCGGGTGAGGCTCGAACTCACGACCTTAAGATTATGAGACTTACGCGCTGCCTACTGCGCCACCGAGGCTGTATTAAATAATGGACCGAAAGACGCATATAAATGAAGTATTCTAGAACAGAAATAAGAGAAAAAAGTGAAAAAAAATCACTGCACTGATATTCTACAAAATAAAGACAAACCCTTGAAGCGATATTTAAAGTGAATGCAAGAAGAATAATCTTATTTAGTATATAGTTATAAGGAACTGACGCCATTGAAATTCGTGATTTGTATAGCAAAACCACCAATGTATAAAATTTTTGATTTTTCGCATTCTTAATATAAGAAATTTGTTAATTTTGCCAATTAGAGTCACTTTAGTAAATCAGCACTGCTGTCGTTATCAGCACCACTAATTAACTCCAATATACATAGTTAATAGTTGTAGAAAGGCCTTAAGCTCACTGGCTCACTGGAGTCAACTTCACCTGCCCTTAATATGGGTTCCCGGAAACAGAAAAATTCTCGCTAACGAAAAAGCTGACGAATTGGCCAAACCAGGAGCGTCTTTGGATGAACTCGAAGCGGAGTTAACATCATATCCGCTGGGAACGATCAAAAGAGATCTTTTTACTCACGATGAACAAATACCACAGTGCAGATAAAAATCAATAACCAATGAAGTCGAAATGGTCCAAATATGATAAGACTCGAACAAAAGACCTACTCTGTAGGACCAGGCATAGTATTTTAAGGCTTACGAAAACTAGAAGGAAATAAGGAAACAGTCTTGCACTTTCTTTGTGAATGTCCAACACTAGCACAAACCAGACACAGAATATTTGGAACACATCAGGTATGAACCTTGAGTGGCTGTCCACAAAAGCATATTGGACATAAATAGTTTCATCGAAGGCATAAAATGGTTGGAGTGCAAAGATGAAACGAGATAGCAGTTTTATATAAGTCAGGCGATATGCATTAAAATCGCAAATCCAGCGCTAATTGAGCCCAAAGTGGCTCCTACTTACCTATACCACACATCCATAAATTTTAGTACAGAAATTCCGCCATATCAATGATTAACATAGTATAAGTTGCCTACATTTTGGCGCAGTGAAAATAAGCTCAGGTTTTGTAAGATAATGGTGACAGATGGAAATTAAGTTTTTACTTGACCACTGTATATACCACAAGATTCGGGAAAAGAAATTGGATAAATAAGATATAATTACAAGAGTATGTCCTTTGTAAAAATAATTACAACTTAGTAAAGTTAAGAATGTTGTTAAGATTGACCACAAATATTTATTATTTACGAATTTCAACTTTCTCTTCTTATTTAAATTCGATTTCTTGCAATTTGTTACATAACTTATATTTGTTTATAATTTCGTACTGGGGGAAATATAGGCTATTGATATGCTCGGTGAATATGAATTATTTATTTTTAGAAGAAATTCTCTTCATTATTTGAGATTTTCACGTATTTTACTCGTAAACACACCCTACTTTGAAAAGTGCTGACGTGGAGCACTCTGTGGTAGTTTGTCAGCAGTTTCGTATTTGTCATTTTGCAAGCACCGACCACTTGTCCCTTTGGCGCAGAGGATAGCGCGTTGGACTTCTAATCCAAAGGTCGCGGGTTCGATCCCCGCAAGGGATGCATTGATAATTAATGGTGATTTTTTGCACGCGCAGTAAAAAAAGGTTTATTTTTTTCAAAAGGAACACTTATATTTCTTTGGAAGTTTTTGCCTTTTGAAGTAAGTTAGCATCTGATTGAATTTTAGTTAACGAAAAGATGAGTGTGCCACAATATATTCTAAAGGATTAACCTTGCTATATATCTGTGAGAGCACGTGGGTGGCGCTCCTCCGTTCGTCCCTTTGGCGCAGAGGATAGCGCGTTGGACTTCTAATCCAAAGGTCGCGGGTTCGATCCCCGCAAGGGATGTCCTTGTGGACAAAGTTACAACTACCTGACCTTATCAGAGTATGTGTTTCTTCTTTTTTTCCACTAATCTACCAACTGCAATTTTCTCATCTGCACTTATACGTACAATAGAAATATTGATAATGATTTTAGTCATACAAACAGACTTTGTAGTTGTGAATTGGAATGAAGTGTAGGCATGTGTTTCTTATATATATTACATTATTTTATATTGCGATTTCATAACATCCATAAACAATATAATATTTACTATTTTTTCTTACATAAGATATGAACCAGATTTTAGATAAAAATATAATTTCAGTGAAGCAAAATACAAAAAATTTTAGAAGCAAATACAAGTATTTCATTCATAAAGTAGCATACTCTTATAATAATTACTTTGGTTGCAAGGAGGGAGACAAGTTTCTTTCTAGAACATTCGAATTTAGCCGCAGCTTCTCCACGCGTGTTGGGTCAGCCAACTCTTCCTCCGCTAATCGTTCAGCTCGATTTTCAAGTATGGATTCTGTTGTAATTAAATATTTATTAGATATGTGAAATGTCATTAATTATTCTGGATGCACTTACTGTTATATGGCGTATATTTATCAGACAGTATACTTTCCAGGTTGTACCCAATGAATCCCACAACTCCAGCAATGGGAAGTGTTATGTAGACGGCATTTCGTCTTAATATTGCCATTAGAATAGGCCACATTATTAAAAATTTTATTACAATGTATAATTTATTGTTTACGCGATTATACAATATTTACTATTTAATTCAATTGGGCTAAACAAAAATCTTATTGCCGGTGTGCATTTGACAAACATATGATTGTCAAATATGACATTTTACAATCGCGCATTTTCTATCAAATTGCACCACCCTGTGTCTAATTTAAATAGCGCGGATGAAAGTCCTTCGTAAATATACCAAATGCTGACGGTAAATAATATTGGTCCAATTGATAGTTTAATCCAATGTAAAAAAATACAAGATGTGAAATTAAAATTTAAAAATATATACATAGCGGTAGAATGGCTGTGTGAGTAGATTCGAAGATATTACCAACATACTCCTAGACGAAACCTAATGCTAGAGAACAGTCACAAGTGTTTACGATTTCTGCAACCAGTCATGTTTTTATATACAAAATATTTATTATTACATTTAAGGGGTAAGTTTATACAATAATTTAAATTATTATATTCTTACTTATTACAGAAAACTCCTTATCTTATATTATCGTATTTCTTAAAAGTGATCGAAGTAAATTTCTCTTTCGAATTTTCGACTGGTGCGTGTATGCGTATTTGTCGCAAGTGAGTGTCTCTACCGTTCTGATGATTTGCCACAATCGCAATTTGTAACATATATATACGAACAGGGCGAGATTTACCATTTTCCACATGTATAGCAGTCCATCCTGAAATGAGGCTTTATTTATATCACCGCAATTGTTAGGTGTCAGTACTCACCTGTTGGTTCGAAAAGTTCTTGATTTTGCAACTCTTGTAAGTCGTTGAAATTGGAGCCAGTTCGCAGCGAAATACGTGAGGGCGTGTAGCTTTCATCTAATTTGTAGTCAGCATACAAATAAACAGCACTAATACGAGTTTTCCTATGAAACTGTACATTGACAAGATGTGGAAGTTGACCATCTGATTGCCAATAGGTGTCAATTGTATTATCGCGCAGACGTTCAACGCCAAACCCTGCAAAAAACCCTTCTCAGCGCTTGATCATACGCGGTATTTATAATCGTATTCACCTGGTTTGCAGGATGACAAACTCCATACAGCTTGATTGCCTATTTCCCTGACGACTCCTGATCGTTCAAGTGGTAAAGGATCTTGATTGCTAACCTCTTCCTCGGCATTAGCCTCCATTGTTGTTTTTTATGCAAGTATTTTTAAATTGTATATTTATTTTTCAAACAAACAACAAATCATTTGTTTATATGACTTGAACTTGAGTAGAAATGTCAAAAATAATTTGCCGGGCTTGGTCAGCTGTTTAGTATTTTGTTCTTGTATATTGATCGAGTTGCCACTGTTCTCTCACATAATATACCTATAATTTTTGAACATGATTTCTGAGATATATTTTCTATTTATTCTATATTTTACTATTTTAAAACTCATATATTTTATTTATTTTTGTTTTATTGGGAACTTGCATATAAATTATGTATAATTATAAGGATTTAACTATGACTAACATTAGTTAATCAAAATTTGAAATGATATGGCATTTACTACTGTTGCGTTGACGTTTCACATTGGTGTTTTTGTTAGCAAATTGTCTAAAAGAAAAAATATATTTTATTTTACCTGTGATGTGCAAAAATAAACATTGAGATTACAATGAGTCTGGAGCAGGGTGAGCATTTGTTGGCCTTGAAGGGTAAGTTAAATAATAAACGTATAATATATTTACTTACCACCGTTACTTTAAGTGATGAGGCTGACAAGGCCTACCCTCATTGGTCCACAAGTGATTTCCTGCGAAAATCGAGATTTGCCACAACAAACATTTCGACGTCGTATGGTTGAGCACGAAACTACTACAGTTGCGGGTGCGGAAACCTTAGCCGCAGGACAATTTATGCTGCTGCCACAGTCGTTCGGTTCCATATATTTAGGTAACACATTTATTGATCTTTAAAAGTCTGCTTTCTAACTACTTTTATCATTAGGTGAAACATTCGCTAGCTACATTTGCGTCCACAACTGTACTACATACTCTGTAGAGGGTGTTACAGTGAAAGCTGACCTACAATCCAACACCACGCGTATTAATTTACCCATGAATGGAAAGCAAACGAGCACTACGTTATCACCTGAACAAACCCTTGACGATGTCATACGTTACGAAGTCAAAGAAATAGGCACACATATGTAAGTGAACAATGTGCTATAGAAATCTGTAAGATTGTTGACGTGTTAAACATTTTCAGTTTGGTGTGTGAAGTGAATTATACCACTCCTGCTGGATTTCCACAATCTTTTAGAAAATTCTTCAAATTTCAAGTACTCAAACCACTTGATGTGAAAACTAAGTTTTACAATGCTGAAATGGATGAGATCTATTTGGAAGCGCAGATACAAAACATTACCACCGGTCCATTTTGCTTAGAAAAGGTCGAGTTGGACAGTTCGGAACACTATACCGTCACACCGCTGAACACCTTATCGAATGGCGAGTCAGTGTTCTCTTCTAAGAATATGTTACAACCAAATAATAGCTGCCAGTTTTTATATTGCATAAAGGTATCATAAGCTCGCTAAATTTATAAATCATAATTATTATAATCAACTTTCTTTAGCCCAAAGCTGAAATTGCGAAAGACATAAAAGCTTTGCGACAAGCAAACAATGTGGGCAAATTAGACATCGTGTGGCGTTCAAATCTCGGCGAGAAGGGGCGTTTGCAAACCAGTCAATTGCAACGTTTGGTATTTTATGCAAATATTTAAAGCATTTATATTTATTTAATCACATCCTCCTACAGCCATTCGAATACAAAGATGTGCGGCTGGAAGTAATCGATGCGCAGAATATTGTTAAAATAGGTGAACCTTTCACGTTTGTTTGTCGCATTACAAATACCGCGGAACGAATAATGGATTTGCTGGCAAAACTAGAAGCACCGCTTGAGTTTGGTTGCGATTATACGGGTGCAGCTGAATTCGGCATTGGCAAATTGGCGCCGGGCGAACAACGCGAATTTTCGCTTACAATTTGTCCAGCGCGTCTAGGCCTAATCAAAATCAGTCCGTTACTATTAACCAATGTACTGCAGCAGGAGCAGTATATCATCGAAAAGGTGGTTGACGTATTTGTCGTCGACACAGATTATCACGAAGATGAAGCATTCCAGGTAAACAAATTCGTGCGTTACGACAACACCGTGTCGACGCTAACGGAGGAGCGTACATTGCAATTGCAAGTTGTCTAAGGCTTCCTTCTCGATCTTTGGGCATTCAAGCGTGCGATCCTCCTCAATGTGTGGCAAGGTTAAGAGTTAAGTTATGCTCATTAGCCAATTACTGTAAAAGTATGTGTAATTTTTACCACAATATATGTATGTATGTATTTCGGTTTTATCTTGGACATTTTATTATTGTGTTTAAAATATTGTAGTTTTATTTGCCAACGATGATCAGCGGCATTTCACATTGCATTACTTCGGTGCAATCAAAAGTTCAAAGCGTTCTTAAGCCTTGATGCAGTTTGTTGTACTTAATCGCTTATTATCGCCTGCGTAAATTAAGTAAATAATTCAGTACTTATCAGCAATATTTTCCATCCATCAAAGTTGCTTTGCATTAATTGAGAAATTTGCATTTTAAAATGCAATCCAAAAAGTGGCCGCTGCTCATGCGCACACCATTTTATTTTTTTTTATTTTTTATTTTATTTTATTTTTATTTTATTTTTATTTTTTATTTTTTATTATTTTTTTTTTTTGAATTGACAATGTACAGACTGTCTCTTATACACATCTAGATGTGTATAAGAGACAGATATGTATGTATGCAAGTATAATATATGTACATTGTACTATGTGCACATTGCTTCATCTAACCATTTTTGGTGAGAAAATGTCAATATTTTTATTAATTGATTTAAGTGGTTTTTTTTATATATTTTTTTTTAAATTAATTTTTTAATTTTTTTAAAATTTTTTTTTTAAATTTTTTAAAAATTTTTTTTTTAAATTTTTTTAAAATTTTTTTTTTAAATTTTTTTATAATTGCAATGCAATTTGGCTCGTAAATCTTGTTGCGCTATGCGAATTTGTTCGAGCCGAAATTTACGATTTAGTAAATGTTTCCAAGTCTATGCATTTTTAAAGTGTAACTGTCCGTCGCACACTTGCACATGTCATTGGTGGCTGTTAGTTGTTGTTTTTGCTTAGTTTGTGTCCTCGTTTGCTTGCAGGTGGCAGCTTGTGGACTACGGCGCATGCGGGTGCTGACTAGCTGGCGCGCCTGCTCCACACATACATACATATACACATGCTCATACATATTCATGTGCTTTTTTGTACATACATATACATATGTGACTGTGTGATTGTGTGTTCTTGTAATTTATGTACAAATGCGCCTGCGCGGAGATGTTTACAAGCTCGCGTGCACTTTTTTTTTTTAGAAGCAGACACACTCTGCAACATTTATTTTTGTGCGGACACGTGTATGTGCAATCGCACATTTGAACGATGTAGTTTCTTATCGCACGCACAATAAATCCCCGAATGTCATTAGCTCGCTGATTTTCCAAAGATATATTGCGCCGTTAATGCTAATACCTTTCTATCTAATTTTCATGCGGTTACAGCAGCGACATACCTGTGCCGCCTTCCGCGTCAATAGATTCTGCCGTCTGGAAAAATGTCGCTGTGCCTTACAAGCGAGCTTTTATTAAATATTCACGGGCGGAGAAGAACACTACCGTGCTAGTAAGTCTTTCATGGCTGAACTGCGCGCTGTAAGCCAATCCAAATAAAATATTTGGGCGTCGGGGTCTATTAATATGATCGCACTAGATTTCGCACTTTTGATAAATTTCAGGTGTCTTTTATAGATTGCGAGTTGATCACAAAATCATTTCCTACAACAAACTTCTTTTCAACATAACCCCTCACATTGTGAAAATCCCTATATGAAATTAACTATTTTACTTCTCAAGCTTATTCTTTACTTCCCACAATAGACCCTCTTACCTAACCGGTGTGTTACGTTTGATAGTCTCCATTTTTTCACACCGCGTATGACTGCGCTCATTAACAAAGTACACAACCGCAGCAAGATCCTCAGGTCGCTAGCCGGTAACACCTGGGGCAAGGTCAAACAAACTTTGTTGACCACTTATTGGCCGCAATTGGCCGGCCAGTCAATAATTATGCTCCCCTTGTTTGCCTACATACGAAAGAATGAAGCTGAGAAAGATACGGGCAAGTGAGGACATTGCCCTCCGTACGATTATAGGATTTAGTCTAACCTCTTCCGTTGAACCACATTATAATATGGCTCGCATGCTTTTGATAGAAGTATATAATGCACCTCTCTCCAAGCAGACACCCTAGATGACCCTGCAGTGTCGCTTGGATGCAGGGAAACGCAAACGAGGAAGTTCCAAACTTGTCAGAACAATGCACTCTGAATTACTGTTATCTCTTATCGAACACCTGCATAAGGAGGCCCGTATGCTCCAAGTTAAGTTCATGATATGAACTCCGCTCTAAGCAGTTTGTGCTGGGGTGCTTTCGCGGAACCGCTTCCTCGGAACTTTAAGAGATCATTCCTCAACTTTGTCGACGACATAAAACAATACGCCGACCAGAGTTCGGACGGAACTAACATCCGATAAGCACTGATCGCCATTCACAATAGTTTTCATCGACTCCCTCTCAATGAATGGCGTATTTGGAGTCAAACCATCACGAATTGCACATGAAGAGCGCGTGTTGCAGCGAGAAATGAGATTGACCCTTGCGCAGCTTCGTTCTGGTTACTGTAGCAGGTTAAGCTCATATTAGACAGAATAGACCCCGACATATCTAATATAAGTTCAGCATGCAATGAGTCCCCGCATGACACTGGCCAGCTCTTTGCATGCCCTGCAAACCTTACTCATCTGACGCCCTTCTCCCTTTGGTCCGACCCCGTCGAAATAGCACGCTTCTTGGATCTACCGTTAAGTGTTTCCATAACAGTTGGTTTTGAACTTTCCCTCAAACAGAGTTTAGGTACTCGCTACAACAACAAAAATAAACGGCACACACGGAATTGTTTAAAACTTTGCGATTGGGTAATGGTCATGTCCGACAACCTTTGGTATGAAACATACTAATTTGCTGTAAAAGAGTAAAAGCGTGTTTACTTTGCGTCACAAGCTTGAAAAGAACGAAAATTTGAGGAATTGTTAATATAGTCTCTTTTCAATATAACAACAACATGCCC